TTGGTAAATCTATAAGATAACCTGTAAAACTTCTATTTAGACATGTTTTGCTGATGATCCGGCATTATCAGATAAAGAATTTTTATAAATGTTATTGATTTTGCCTATTAATAGTGAAACAATGTAGATACGTATATTTGAAAAAAAAAACGAGACAAAATTAAAATAAATAAATAAAAACCGATGTGAAATATATATTAGAATAATATATATTATAATAAAATAATTAACTTATAAATGACTTCCATCTCTAAGTTTCATATGTTTATATCCAATATTCTGCGATTTTCTTTACTGACTCTCTCTCTCTCTCTCTCTCTCTCTCTCTATATATATATATATATATATATATATATATATATATATATACTGACTCTCCCGTCGACGTATGAAGGTCAAGCAGATCAGTTACCAGTAAACAGACAGCACATGTGATTTGATTATAGATTATATATATATATATATATATATATATATATATATATATATATATATATATATATATCAGAACGTGCCGTATGTGTGTGTGTGTGTATTGTGTCTGTTTCATTGAACTAGGTTGACAAGGATTCACCGATTAAATAAAAATTATATCATACCAACATTATTGAAAAAAAAAGCATTAATAATGATATTGGATACATTTCCATCCACCTGACAACGCGAGTAGTATTACATCACTCCGACCGGAGCTCAATAGGGACATATTTAAACAACCATAGAATCGTAGTAACCTCAGTAAGCAACATATTTAAACAGCCATAGAATCGTAGTAATCTCAGTACGCAACCTATTTAAACAACCATAGAATCTCAGTAACCTCAGTACGCAACATATTTAAACAACCATAGAATAGTAGTAACCTCAGTACGCAACATATTTAAACAACCATAGAATAGTAGTAAGCTTAGCACGCAACCTATTTAAACAATCATAGAATCGTAGTAAGGTCAGTACGCAACCTATTTAAACAACCATAGAATCTCAGTAACCTCAGTACGCAACATATTTAAACAACCATAGAATAGTAGTAACCTCAGTACGCAACATATTTAAACAACCATAGAATAGTAGTAAGCTTAGCACGCAACCTATTTAAACAATCATAGAATCGTAGTAAGGTCAGTACGCAACCTATTTAAACAACCATAGAATAGTAGTAAACTCAGTACGCAACCTATTTAAACAACCATAGAATCGTAGTAACCTCAGTACGCAACCTATTTAAACAGCCATAGAATCGTAGTAATCTCAGTACGCAACCTATTTAAATAACCATAGAATCTCAGTAACCTCAGTACGCAACCTATTTAAACAACCATAGAATAGTAGTAACCCCAGTACGCAACATATTTAAACAACCATAGAATAGTAGTAACCTCAGTACGCAACATATTTAAACAACCATAGAATCGTAGTAACCTCAGTACGCAACATATTTAAACAACCATAGAATAGTAGTAACCTCAGTACGCAACCAATTTAAACGGCCATAGAATCGTAGTAATCTCAGTACGCAACCTATTTAAACAACCATAGAATAGTAGTAAACTCAGTACGCAACTTATTTAAATAACCATAGAATAGTAGTAAACTCAGTACGCAACCTATTTAAACAACCATAGAATCGTAGTAACCTCAGTACGCAACCTATTTAAATAACCATAGAATAGTAGTAAACTCAGTACGCATCCTATTTAAACAACCATAGAATCGTAGTAACCTCAGTACGCAACATATTTAAACAACAATAGAATCGTAGTAACCTCATTACGCAACATATTTAAACAACCATAGAATCGTAGTAACCTCAGTACGCAACATATTTAAACAACCATAGAATCGTAGTAACCCCAGTACGCAACATATTTGAACAACTATAGAATAGTAGTAAACTCAGTACGCAACCTATTTAAACAACCATAGAATAGTAGTAACCTCAGTACGCAACATATTTAAACAACCATAGAATAGTAGTAAACTCAGTACGCAACCTATTTAAACAACCATAGAATAGTAGTAAACTCAGTACGCAACTTATATAAATAACCATAGAATAGTAGTAAACTCAGTACGCAACCTATTTAAACAACCATAGAATCGTAGCAACCTCAGTACGCAACATATTTAAACAAACATAGAATCGTAGTAACCTCTGTACGCAACCTATTTAAACAACCATAGAATCGTAGTAACCACAGTACGCAACATATTTAAACAACGATAGAATAGTAGTAACCTCAGTACGCAACATATTTAAACAATCATAGAATCGTAGTAACGTCAGTACGCTCCCTATTTAAACAACCATAGAATAGTAGTAGCCTCAGTACGCAACATATTTAATCAACCATAAAATAGTAGTAAACTCAGTACGCAACCTATTTACTTAACCATAGAATAGTAGTAACCTCAGTACGCAACCTATTTAAACATCCATAGACTAGTAGTAACCTCAGTACGCAACATATTTAAACAACCATAGAATAGTAGTAAACTCAGTACGCAACATAATGAAACGGCCATAGAATAGTAGTAAGCTCAGCACGCAACCTATTTAAACAATCATAGAATCGTAGTAACGTCAGTACGCAACCTATTTAAACAACCATAGAATAGCCGTAACCTCAGTACGCAACCTATTTAAACAACCATAGAATAGTAGTAACCTCAGTACGCAACATATTTAAACAACCATAGAATAGTAGTAAACTCAGTACGCAACATACTTGTTGAGAACACGGATGAGGATGCGTACCAGCCACTGCAAAAAACGTTTAAAAGTTATGGTAGTCCTTATTATAAAAACCCTCACTTAATTATGAACCCGACCACAATATACTGACCATATTTGGAAATAATAAATATATCTACTTTCAGAATCTTTCATCCTGTCTAAAATAATACTTACCATTTATTATAATAGTAGAACAAAAAAGGATCCTTGCAAAACAGTTTAGTCGAAAGAGGTCGGAAGAAACAAACTTTTCCTCATTAAAAATTAGAAAAGTTTTTTTTTTTATCAGAGGACGGAAAGTACGACACTGAAATTCGAAGGGACATTTAGACAGCGAAAGATGGTTGCCCAAAACTAAGCAAAGTATTAAGAAACAGGAAAATTTCGTTAAAAACAAAGTAAAGAGTACTGAAATATTACGTAATATCAGTCCTTCTATATGCCATAAATATCCTCAGAGATTGAAAAATGTCAAACAGTCTCCCTACAGACAGAAAATCAGTTTCTACGAAACAATGCCGAGAATACCATGGGCCGAACATGTGAGCAACGGTGAAGTTTTAGAGAAAATACAAACAAAAGGGACATGTATATTTAATTTAAGAAAGAGTCAGTTGAAATTTCTAGGGCATATAATGAGGAAAGAGGACTTGGAAAATTCGATAGTTTTTGTGATGTCAAATAACACTCGTTTCCACTTTTGTAATGCCAACGAATACTCTATTTACAGACTGATCTACTTCCACGTGCCATGTCTAATGGATGTCATTTATCAGTTATCTCCTGTTAATTCACCTCTCCAAGTTCTCCACTGCCTTATTCAGGTATTGAACTCACAACAGAACAGTCTACTCCAGCGAGCGAAATAAAGGGTTCAGTTCTACATTCCACCCCCCTGAAGAAGGCCGGAGCGTACAACGGACGAAGTGTTGTGATAAATATGGGAACAAAGATGAGGACAATAGACCGAATAATGTAAATAGTATACATAATACCTTAACTCAGAAATATAGACAGATACAACAAATACTCGTTGTCACTTTCGTAATGCTCGTTGAAGTAGAGACTTTGTAATCGCAGATACAACTATAGTAACGCCGTTGAACAATACTGATGTCAGACGCCTTCGAATAATCTCGTACTGATAGCAATTACACGATAATACTCGCTCAAATAGTAATCCGTATAGAGAAATAGTATAGTGAATAATATAGAGAATAGCGAACCGTATAGTAATAGAGGATAGAGTAGAAATAGTGATCCGTATAGTATAGAGGATAGACTAGAAATAGTGATCCGTATAGTATAGAGGATAGACTAGAAATAGTGATCCGTATAGTATAGAGGATAGACTAGAAATAGTGATCCGTATAGTATAGAGGATAGAATTATTTAATTTATTTGGATTAATTTATTTTACTTGTTTTTACTTATTTTACTTGATTTTGATTATTTATTTTTTTTATATATATATATATATATATATATATATATATATATATATATATATATATATATATATATATAATTTTTTCAGTTTTCGATTTTAAGTAACGTAGTAAAATTGTTTTCGTGTCTGCATTTTGCGATGAGTTCTGATCGTTTATTTAGTAGTTTGTTTTGGTCTGGGAAGGTAATTATAGCTGTTTTTTTCCTCCAGGAAGAGTTTGCAGTTTATGGATTGATTGTTGTATTTTCCATGATATTTTTGGTTTGATTTGATTTTTTGTTTTTAATTTACCAGATATACTTAGAAAACATTGTGCTGTTACTGCTATGTATATTTGTTTATTTCTTTTTTTCTTTCTTTCTATATATATATATATATATATATATATATATATATATATATATATATATATATATATATATATATATATATATATATATATGTATATATATGTATATATGTGTATATATATATTATATTATATTACATTTACCTTCATATAAAAAAAAGGAAAAACAGAAATATGAAGAAAATGTAGAAGTGAAACTACAGATTGATTTATTTGTTTTTTTACGGTTTATCAACCGTTAGCAGGTTATTTAAGTCAAAACGATTTTTTTTATCATAAGATAATAATGATTTATTAATAGAAGTCCTACTAATTAACCTATAGCTTGGACTTAGAGGTGGATTCATACCTTTCCTTAGGGTATTTGCGTGTAAGTGAATTTAACGGACCCTATTGGAATTGGAACTCGGCTCTCTGATTTCAAATTCCGGGTCGTTATCCGTTACATCACCCGCACATCCAAGCTTACAGCACGTGGTATTCCCAAGCGGTCGCCCATCAAGGTACTGACCAGACTCGACGTTGCTTAACTTCAGTGATCGTATGAAAAAGCAGCGTTTCAACGTTATATGACCGTAAGCCATCGAGGTAGAATCAAGATTTGGAAATTAGTGATTTTCAAAGATGACAAACGCTTTCTGCTAGTAAAAGTGGCAATTGTAAGATCTTCAGATCCCATTTACGAGAGTATAGAAGAAGAGGAGAGAGAGAAAGACAAAATGGTGGACAGGAAAGGACAGAGGGGAATAAGAAGGGGACAAAAATGAAGAAACAACAGAGAGAATATGAAGCGAAGAAAGAAAATTATGGCAGACAAATGAGGAAGAAGTAAAAAGAAAAATGAGAAATAAAATTAAAAAGAAAAAAAGAGAAGAAAAAGAAAAAAAGATGATGAGCGAAAAACACGGTAAGGAGGGAAAGGAAAAAGACAAAAAAATATAGAAAAAAGGGGGGAAAAAACATTGAAAAGAAGAAAAAGGAAGGAAATAAGAAATCAAGAGAAAGAAAGAATTATGTCGAAAATAAACACTCAAAGAGATAGAAAAGTAAAAAAAAATAAGGGTGATGATGAAATTAAGAATAAAGAAAAGGAAGAAAAAATAGAAAAGAGGACAAAAGAAGATAAGCAAAGAAACAAAAAAGAGGAGGAAAAAGAAAAAAACAGTAGAAAGAAAAACTAAGAAAGAAGCAAAGATGTAAAAAGGACAAAAGAATAAAGAAGATGTAAATATAAAGGGAATGGTAACAGAAAAGAAAGGCGAAAAAAGAAAAGGAATTTAGAAAGGGAATAAAAGAAATTGAAATTGTAGAAACCCTTATCATGGTAATATAGTGATATCATCCATTTTCTGGTGGAAACCTAACAAGACAGGGATTTTGAGTTATTTCTATGCGCCAGCCAACCAAAATATCTTCAGATTCCCATGCAAATGCTCCTGTCTTTAAATCTTATGCAAGAAAATAAATCAAAAGCTCGGTTATTGAATTTCTTTGGAGTTTGTTTCGAGGGCCAACCTATCAAAATCTTCTGCTAGAAGATCAAAACAAGAAAGTGTGTTCAAACTACGGAGTGCAATGGTTAAATGGTCGCCATTTATATTTTTAATTTCCCGCATGCGCGGTGTTTGTTTTTGATTTTGTTGACTGAACAATATAGTAGGGTCAGTTGGGCACCATCTGTGAGAAAAAGAGCACCATAACGCAATTTACTACGCCAAAAAATTTGGAGACGACATAATGTACTGCTGGGCATTCGAGCCGGAAGCTCCAATACGAACATTTTATAGTGTTTGGTGTATATCTGAGGGCAGTGAAGAGGATTCGGAGAGAGATGGATGAGTCTAATGGTGATTACGAAGGTACGGTAACTCTGATCGTTCTGATAAGAAAAGAATTCCAGAATTTGTTGGTAAGGGCCTCAGACTCAACACGGAGTCCTATATGAAGTGCCTTGAAGAGATGGTGCTGCCCTGGGTCATGAAGGTGAGGTCATGTTAGTGTTGGCCCTAGGTCTGCTGGAAGATCCTATGTCTGGCAACAGGACTCTGCAATATGCCACACAAGTAAGAGAAATCAGTCATGGCTGTCAGACAATTTCCGCGATAACATCATCCATTATATCTCACCAACTAACTCCCCGGATTGCAACTCCTTCATTTATTATATGTGAGGCGCAGTTGAGTGAGAGATTAACAAAACTCCTTGTAACATCAAAGAGGAACCGAAGTTAAGGATTATGGCCGTATTCACCAACTTAAACAAGTGAACAGTCCAGAAGAATTGTAGGAGATGCCGAAGTCATTAGGGAGTCTGTGGTTGAAGCCAATGGCGATTTTATTGAATAAATTTACTCTTTAGCATTTCAAGATATTTTTGTGTAATTTTGGTAAATATATTTCAACAGGACATTGTAATTATCACTGGCACGCCCGATCCCTCTTCCTCGTAGATTCTCATTGAGATAACACCGCACTGTCATCTTAGTTTTTACACATTTTGTTAAAATTTGAAATCATTTGAGCCAGAACTGGTTATGTTTATATATATATATATATATATATATATATATATATATATATATATATATATTACATGAATCATTCATACAAAAAACAAATATAGAGGTTAATGATTTAAATGGCGAGAATACATCTTCGCAAACAATTTCAATAAGGTACACTAACCCCGAACCTGTATATGAATGATATGATCCCTGTTTATAAATTTCAGTTGCATAAGATCTTTTTTAGTTTGTACAAGCTTTCGACTGTTCCTACAGGCATTTTCAGGTATAGAAATAGATTTGTTCTTGTTTTTTTCTTCCCGGTAATAAGACGACAACGAAAATATAGATATAATCCGAAAAAATGCTATCAGAAATGTGTTATTGTTTTGGAACGTACGGTAGCAACGCTGAGGTTGAATTTTAAATTTTAAGGTTGTGCGTTTTTGTACAAATATTATAAGAGAATTCTTTTGTACTGGTAGGTTTTCCGTCAATGTGGCATGAACTATATTGTTCAATATCAAAACCTACCAGTACCAAAGAATTCTCCTATAACTATATGCACGTATAATCGAATATATATATATATATATATATATATATATATATATATATATATATATATATATATATATATATATATTCGTACTCAATCGTCGTAACGCAGCATTTAATGAAGGTTTTTCGTTTTGGTGATTACTGACTGGTGATTTGCAAATGCAGTTTTAAAGAGTTAATATTCAGACTCGTACGAAGTGAAAACTTAATTATTTTATATTCTATTTAACCCCCCCCCCCAACCCAAGGCGGACAAGTGTGTGTGCGTGTTTATGCTGGAGTATCTGTGGACTTCATCTCAGTTCTCCAAATAAGATTTCCGAAAAAATCTCATTTTTGATATAATTTACCTGGAATTAAAACCCGGGATTTTTTGTTTTAAATAGAAGATAGGCACTCCTACCGCCCGCTCCATACTCCTCCCACTTCTAGTAGCAGTACTAGAGGCTCATTCCTTCTTTCCTGTTTAGGAAGGGGTTTCGGGTTCCTTTCCTTTTCTCAGGCCTTGTAATGGTGGCAACGTCTCTTCATAGTGAGAGTACCGCTTCTGGTTGCTGTTCCCGACTGGTAGTTAGGAGCCCGGATTCTTGCGTGGCGTCTTGAGAGGCTGCTCTGATAGACATCTCCACCCACTCCCCCACCAAAGAACCTCCTACCACCAGAGTTTCTTTTACTAACGAGCAGATTGGGACTAGTTCCGTGATTTCTTTCGTGACGTCCCTTGGAATGAAGTTTTAAATCATCCTGTTCAAAAATGCGCGTCTGATGTCTCCTCCTGGGTAAAAGACGGCATCGACACATTCATTTCAGCAAAGAAATACCAAACTAAAGCTCGTTCATCTCCCTGGTTCTCGCCTGCATGCTCGGCAACTATAACCCACAGGAATTACTACTTCAAGTGACACGTCTGGTTGCCTCTGCTCGTAACGAGTGCAATCGTGTCTTCAATGAAGCGAAGTTATTGTTTGTTGATAGAATGAAACAACGTATAGCATCGCGCAAGTTCGGCTCTAGAGATTATTGGCAGCTCTGCAAGAGTGTGCTGAACAACAGCAAATCCTCAATCCCTCAATCAATCAGTTCGAAGTTTGACATCTACAGTAGATGCTTTGCTCGGAGATTCTCTTCCAGCTCAACACTCGACTCACCTGGAGTACCTATACCTGATTGCCATCCCCTAAAAGTGAGACTATATTGAGTCATAAGCGCATAACTCCGTTACTGGTCTCGGACATCATTTCTAAATTAAGGCAAATGAATGTGACGATGTACTAGCCATCGTCCTAAAGAAATGTGCTCCAGAGCTAGCACTAGTTCTCTTCAAACTCTCCAACTATTGTCTCGTTGATTTCCAGATTGTTGGAAGTCCTCCTCTGTAGACCCTATTTTTTAAAAACTCCGGAGAACCTTCTGACAACTCTAACTATCTCCCTTTTAGTCTCCTACCACTTTTCGGAAAAATATTCGAGCTTTATTCAATGCTGAAGTGGTTAGGCCTCTTACCTCTCATGAACTACTCTCTGACAAACTATATCGGTTCTACTTTGATCGGTCTACCGCTGGCGTATTTATGGCTATAACTGAATATGTATATCAAGCTCTTGATAATAACGCCGAAGCTCGAGCTGTGGCTCTAGGTATCTATGAGGCGTTTGTTAGGGTTTGGCATGCTGGCCTTCTACGTGAACTTCCGGGATGCGGTATTACAGGACAATTGTTCGGTTTAATCCAGTCATTCCTATCAAATTGTGAAATTAAGGCTCACTTCCAAGTTTCTATTCTGTGTTCTACGTTTCTAAACTTCATCAAGAAACTTTCTGATGTCATCAGTTCCCAAATAGGCATTTATGCAGATGACACTACCATTTACTTCTGTCTAAATAGAAAATCCGTCAGAGCTGACAAAGTTAACATGGCCGTTGCCCTTAAAAAGGACTTCCAATCAGTGGAAATGGCTCGTAAATTTTAATGCCTCCAAAACTAAACTACTCTCATTTAACCACCATAGAGAAACTTCCCTATCTGACATCAGCATGGCTGATGCTCGACTCCAGTGAGCGTCTCACTCCGCCTTCTTGACCTCAGATTTTCAACTGATTTGAAGTGGAACAACTACTTTGAATCAATAGCTGCATCTACTGCAAGGAAAGTTGGTTCATTGTGTCGTGCCAGAAGGTTTTTCTCGATAGAGTCCATCTTGCACATTTATGAGTCTACCATTCATCTGTGCATTGAGTACTGTTGCCATATCTGACCTGGTGCCCCTGCTGTTCATCTCGAGGATCTTGACAAAATCCAAAGAAGGATCGGTAATGTAATCGATCCTGAGAAAGCGCGGGAATGATAGAGATATAGAAAGGTTTTTCGGGGAGTCGAGTCTTAACCGTCGAACAATGCAGACCTGTTTCTTTCGTGTTTGGAAATATATCCCCAGCGAAAGGAGAGCAAACCTAATGGACAGGTAGAAATGTATACGTCGGCGTTAATAAAATAGCTAAAAATCCTTGTTTTGAAGTTCTTTCATCTATGAACTCAAACCGGCTGGTGATCATCGGCTAGGAGAAAACAAGAGAGAAGATACAGCATATGAGTGAAGGCCACGCTCACCAAGGGGCTATACAACATTGTATTAATTGGCGCAGTGACCACGACCTCCCATAATGAAGGGGCTATGCAATAGCCGAAAGAAAAAAAATAGAAATTTTAGATGAACTTCTCTCATTTGTTTATATCGCATGCCAATAATCTTCAGTCAGTAGTGAAACGTTATTGACTGAGTTTGTATACTGTGTGGCTGTTGTATTCACGGCGGATATACATAAAGTCTTGCTTGCAATTTAAACATTCGTAAGCGAAATCTATTGGGCATAATAAAGAAGCCTTTTCAGGAAGATTCTGGGCGCGAAGCCCAACAAAATATTAAGTACCGACGCTTCAAATATAACAGCTGGATTCCGTTGAAAGCTAACTCCATTGTGGAAAGCCTTAAAATAGCAGAACATCCAGACAGCAACATTATTGTCAGTTGAATTGAAAGAAACGTGTTGGTGTATTTAGAAAACTTGCCATCTCTAAATTTCAAATGAAAGTCACACACAATTACCGATATTGTT